GTTCTAGTATCATGGGCCCAACATGGGAAGCCCATGTGGGCTGACCACATTGAACCCACATGACATCAGCATGGGCTGACCATATATGGGTTAGACCTGGGTGTGGATATGTAGGCCCCAGTCCTTTTTTAAGTGGGCTATCTGGGAATGGGATAGTACTGGGCAACAGTATATGGGGCCCATGTGGTTTCAGTATCATGGCCCAACATGGGAAGCCCATGTGGGCTGACCACATTGAACCCACATGACATCAGCATGGGCTGACCATATATGGGTTAGACCTGGGTGTGGATATGTGGGCCCCAGTCCTTTTTTAAGTGGGCTATCTGGGAATGGGATAGTACTGGGCAACAGTATGTGGGGCCCATGTGGTTCTAGTATCATGGGCCCAACATGGGAAGCCCATGTGGGCTGACCACATTGAACCCACATGACATCAGCATGGCTGACCATATATGGTTAGACCTGGGTGTGGATATGTGGGCCCCAGTCCTTTTTTAGTGGGCTATCTGGGAATGGGATAGTACTGGGCAACGTATGTGGGGCCCATGTGGTTCTAGTATCATGGGCCCAACATGGGAAGCCCATGTGGGCTGACCACATTGAACCCACATGACATCAGCATGGCTGACCATATGGGTTAGACCTGGGTGTGGATATGTGGGCCCCAGTCCTTTTTTAAGTGGGCTATCTGGGAATGGGATAGTACTGGGCAACAGTATGTGGGGCCCATGTGGTTCTAGTATCATGGGCCCAACATGGGAAGCCCATGTGGGCAGACCACATTGAACCCACATGACATCAGCATGCGCTGACCATATATGGGTTAGACCTGGGTGTGGATATGTAGGCCCCAGTCCTTTTTTAAGTGGGCTATCTGGGAATGGGATAGTACTGGGCAACAGTATATGGGGCCCATGTGGTTTCAGTATCATGGGGCCCAACATGGGAAGCCCATGTGGGCAGACCACATTGAACCCACATGACATCAGCATGGGCTGACCATATATGGGTTAGACCTGGGTGTGGATATAGGCCCCAGTCCTTTTATAAGTGGGCTAACTGGGAATGGGATAGAACTGGGCAAAACTATGTGGGGCCCATGTGGTTTCAGTATCATGGGCCCAACATGGGGAGACCATGTGGGCTGACCACACTGAACCCACATGACATGAGCATGGGCTCATGTCATGGGCCCAACATGGGAGACCATGTGGCTGACCACACTGAACCCACTGTGGGTTCAGTGTGGTCAGTACATATCCACGCCCAGGTTGGACCTGGGTGTGGTTATGTAGACCCCAGTCCTTTTTTAAGTGGGCTAAATGAGACAAAATTGTAGAACAATGTACAGGGGTTGGACAATGAAACTGAAACACCTCTCATTTTGTGGAGGTTTCATGCCTGAATTGGACTAGCCTGGTGGCCAATCTTCATGAATTGCACATTGCAACAGTAAGAGCAGAGTAAGGTCCAATTAGCAGGGTAAGAGCACAGTTTTGCTCAAAATATTGCAATGCACATAACATTATTTGGGACATACTGGAGTTCAAAAGAGGGCAAATTGTTCACCAAGACAGCAAGTCTTTGTGATTATCAAGACCACAGTATCCAGGGTAATGTCAGCATACCACCAAGAATGACGAACCACATCTAACACAATTAACTGTGGATGCAAGACGAAGCTGTCTTAAAGAGATGTTTGGGTGCTAACCCGGATTGTATCCCAAAAACATAAAACCACGGTGCCCAAATCACGGTAGAATTAAATGTGCACCTCAACTCTCCTGTTTCCACCAAAACTGTCCGTCGGGAGCTCCACATGGTCAATATACACAGCCGGGCTGCTATAGCCAAACTTTTGGTCACTCGTATCAATGCCAAACGTCGGTTTCAATGGTGCAAGGAGCGAAAATCTTGTGCTGTGGACAATGTGAAACATGTATTGTTCTCTGATGAGTACCTTTACTGTTTTCCCCACATCCGGGAGAGTTACGGTGTGGAGAAGCCCCAAAGATGCATTCCAGCCAGAGTGTTGTATGCCAGAGTGAAGCATGGGGGTGGATCATTGATGGTGTGGGCTGCCATATCATGGCATTCCCTTGGCCCCATACTTGTCCAAGACGAATTGATGCTGTATTGGCCTCAAGGAGGCCCTACACCACGCTAATTTATTGTGGTCTAAACCAGGTGTTTTCAGTTTCATTGTCCAACCCCTGTAGTTAACCTGTCACTTTCAAAATTTTGACTGTATGTCAAAGCAAAAGCTGCAAGAGCAAGATTCTCAAAACTTGGAAAGAATTACCCGAGATGTCAGCTTTATAGTCTTTGCCAAGGCAATTGTTACTCAGCTGGCCTCTAATGGAGTTGATGTAAGGTAAATTCTAGAATTTAATTTTTTCCTTGTAGGAAACCTCGACGATAGTAAAGGTTGGTGACCTTGACCATTGTCGAGGTCTCCAGGACGAAGGTGACCTCGTCTTGGAGATCACCCAAGGATATATTTTGCTGATAGAACAGAACATCCATGTCTTCCTAATGTTTGAACCTAAAACATGTTCACTGTGTGATATCTATGCCTGGCTCATTTACAAACACTAGGCTTCCAGAGGACCAGGATATTAAAACATTAAAAATAATTCTACAATGCTTTATTTTTTTAAACCAGTTCAGTATTGCTCTAGCCACACTTTGAACCCTTAACATTTTTCATGTTTTATTTTATGCTAGAACAGTCCAGTCCAGTCTCCAAGCCAGTACGCATGAGTGGGCCCCCCTTGGGTTTGTAGTAGGCCATATGGGTAATGAGTGGTCATGGGTTTTATCTGGGCAAACCTCATGGGACACATATGGTTAACTAAAATGGGACCCGTATGGGCTGGCCCATTTGGGCTAAATGTATGGGCCCTATTCAGCAACAATGTGGGCTAACTGGAAATGGGACAGAAATGGGCAACACTATTGGGGCCCATGTGGTTTCAGTATCATGGGCCCCACATGAGAAGCCCAATGTGGGCTGTCCACATTAAACTAACATGACATGAGCATGGGCTAACCATACATGGGTTGGACCTGGGCAGGAAAATGTAGCCCCTAGTACTTTTTTTCATGGTCTAAATGGGACAAAATTGTAGAACATTTTAATCGACAATGTGGTTACCCTGTCACTTTCAAACTTTTCACTGTATGTCAAAGCAAAAGCCAGTTCAGTATTGCTCTTGCTACACTTTGAACCCCTAACTTTTTTTTCATTTTATTATTGCAGTCTGAATGTATTAAAACATTTTTTTGAAATAATCTGTTTGAAATATATACGTAAACTCATATTCTGGTGCTTACTCAAAATTAAGCACAGAGTGGTCATGGTTGAGCTTTAGTCCTTGTTTTATTTTTAATAATAATAACTTTTTATTTTATTTTTATTATTATTTTTTATCAATTGGATGTTTAGACATCCATAGAGTTTACTGCAGCCTGTTCGCAGCAAGATTTAATTTTTATTTGGACAAATAGTTCAGATCAGACCATTGTGAAAAATATCACAAAATGTTTAGAAAACAAAACTCATTAGTAAGTGAGAGACAAGAGTAAAATTTTGAGCATCTGTTTTTTCATATATTTGCAAACATTTTTCCAAGTCATCAGTATAAATAAAAAAAAAAATAAAAAAACGTAACATTTTGTTAATGATTCATTTGGTTCCAATTACCTTTTTGTTCATTGTTTGCTCTGAGGCACCGTTGCCAATAGGTTGGTGAATTGAAGTACCGGTAGGCACTTTACACATCCACTGAGGAAAATAGTTCCAAAACATATTTGAATAAGGAGGACAACGAAATGTATTTATTTACATTGAGAACTTTTGCTACATCGGTTTTACATTTGTTAAACCGATGTAGCACTCTCAAAAATTAATCTTGTGTTTCTTGGAAAACGTAAAATGACCCGCGGATGGATATGCGGTTTCAAAATCAAGCCTGTTCTCTTCATCAGTCCGTTGGCGCGAGTCTGCCGGCTGATCTACGAAAGAATCTGTAAGTACATTTCTTCTGTTTTACCTAGTACCAAATTTTAGGGAGAGATTTTAAATCGCTTGTTAAAAAAATTGTTGCTCGTAACAAATCGGACGACAGTATCCCAAAAGAGACTTAATTGTTATTGTTATTTTTGCTTTTCTTTAGGGTGATACTTTTTCTGATATTGCTAACACACACAGCTACACACAATAAGCAGATTTTAGTGCAGACCGATTTCAAACGCAGCGTTGTGGGCCAAACCATTTTCAAATACCGCCGCCATTCTATTTGTTGAGCTGCCATTGGTTCATTTGAGCGCCAACGAGGCAGAATGAATCGGTTCACTGAAGAATCTATGTTGCTAGCAGAGGTTGTTACAAAGTGTCTGGACACAATAAAACCATTTGTATGATTTAAAAAGAGTAACTATTGTGCTTTCATTCTATGTACTTGGGCTTTTAATAATCTTTCTCACAGTCACATCAGCATGCATGGGTGGGTCTCATGTATGGATTCAGGCTGGTTTGGCTGGGACCCATGCAAGATTTATTATTGTCGTTTTTTCAATAAAACTGCATTGAATCGTTTAGCTTTGGGCTATATAGGTAATGATAAGAGGGCATGGGTTTTATCTGGGCCAACTGCGTGAGGCTCAAAAGGTTAACCGAAATGGGACTCATATTGTTGGCTCAATTGGGTTAAATGTATGGGCCCAATTCAGCATTAACGTGGGCTAACTGGGCATGGGACAGAAATGGGAACACTATATGGGGCCCATGTGGTTTCAGTATATTGGGCCTAAAAGGTTTTTTGTAAATAGGATGAAGGCATTGTAGTTCATATTTTTAAATTCTTTTTTTAATTGTTGTGTGACACTTTAAAGCGTTTTGTTATGTCATAGTTTATTTCAATCTGCCGCTATTGTGTTGGTCTAGAGTAGTCATCAGTGTCAGGGTTCCTGTGTGTGTATGTGAGTGTCACATCTTATTTCAGCGAGGATCTTTGTGAGGAGCCCGTGGAGCTTGGCACAGGTGGAGGAGCAGCAGAATCTTCAGTCTACGCTAGATTGACTGCTAGATGGTTGCATACACCGGTAGTCACTCTGGCCTCTCCTGTTGTGAACAGTTTTCTGAGAACGTTTCTGTGTCTACTAGAAGTCACCTGGTCTCTGTGTTTGTTCGATCCTAGGGGTTTTGTCGCCTCATTCGAGAACTCACCAGTGAATACCTGCGTGCTCGCTCCGCCGATTCCACTGCCTCCACTCCACCCTTCGAGCTTCCAGCTCTCTTCCATTCCCACCTCGCATTTACCTTCGGAACCGCTGCACACCCTCTCTCAGGAACCTGGCATCTCACACCCACGCCTCGAAAGACCCGCACCGAAGTAAGCCTGTTCCTGTTTCCCCTCCGATCAGTCATTCTAAGCCCGTCATAACTAAGTTCTCGTTTCAGGCCAACCTGGTCGAGTGGTCCTCACCCTTCCGCTGATGTCCAGGAAATAGATTTTATTTTGTCCTGTTGTAAATAAATCACTCACTCATCCCTATCCAACGTGTGGTTACTGCATGTGGGTCCGTAAATTGAAACCCATCATGTCAATCAGTGGCCAAGCCTGAAACAAATATTGAAAGATGAAGAAATTCTTTTTGATATTTTTGCAATATTTAGCTAGCAGTTATGTGAAATGTACTTATATTTAATTGTAGCTCTAATTTTTTTATATGTGAAATGTTTTAGGCTTTATTAGTTACATTTATAGTGATTTTCTAAACTTCTCTTAAGAGTAATACTACTGTCTTAGTCCTGTCACGTTAACAAAGAAATTAGGATAATTGCAAAACTGTTCAGTGTTTACAATATAAGGCTTCAGTAGTTAATCTATACAAAGGCTGTTTTGCCTTAATTTTTTTATTTTTTTGAAAAGTCTAAATGTTATATTGCACTCATAAAATATATATTTTTGCAGGCTTCAAGAGGATCAGCGTGTGAAGATCACTTTATAATGATTTGAAAAAGGTAGATTAATATGTTAGTGAAATTAAGCACATAAGAGTGATATAATAACAAACTGATGAACAAAAACAAAATGTTTGTCCTGTTATTGTCATTGTACTTAAGGTTGCCATGGCTACAGAAATTGGAGGAGCATCCTTAGATGACACAATACAACCAGCTGTGCGATTCCTCATGTCCCATGAACTGGAAGTCCAGTTCAACCTTTTTGGCCAACATTGGAAACAAGCTCTTGGACCTGCGTCTCTTTGATGTTTTGTATGGTAAATATCAGTTTTTATTGTCAGAGTAACTTTTTTTTTTCACTTTTCTTTCTTAAACATATGTTAATTTATTTTGGTTGTTTTATGCTTTTGTTTGTTATTTTTAGTAATGTTTTTAGGTTAAAAATTGAGTCTTCAATTTTTGGTTTTATTTGAACAGTATTCTTTCACTGTTGTTAACTTAAAAATTTGAAGGTAATATTGTTTGCATTTCAAACAATATTAAAATAACCACAAAACCACGATAGAACCTATTAGTTGATTTATATAGATGGATATATTTTAAATTTACAGTAAGAATATAGTTTCTGTACATAATAATGATGACTCAAGTCCTTTTGATTATGGCATATCTCTGCAAGCATTTTTGCCCCATGAAGGGGGAGATGCAAATCTCATGAATGTTACATTGTGCTAAAATGAAACACTAATACAATTTCTACCTTTGCTTGTTATTTCAGGGGACTTAAAAGAAATTATCCATCTACAGAATCACACAAGCATACAGCAAAGACTCTCGAAGTGGTTTACTGGAGCCCGAGTGGAAGTGGAAATAGACTAGAGAGACTGCCAGTTCAAACTCAGGTTGGGGAGGTCTTTCAAGATGGACAGTTTCAGTAAAGTATGAGAGATTTCAAATTTAAGCATGCATATGGCATGTAGGTTATTTTTAAAAATGTTTAACAAAAATGTATTGTGAAAGATCTATATAGGTGTGTATATTCACATTGTGTGTATCAATGTGAATATACGTGTATAAAGTTATATAGATAGTATTTAGATGTATACATTTATAGACCTGTAGGAAAATATGTAGGTGTCTTTATTTGTGTGCATCTATAGATATATATTTATAGATCTGTTTATAAGTTTGTTATAGTAAACTAGCTTCTGTTATTTTCAAAGATGTCGTGAATTGCAGATTTCTTTTTGTGGCACCATTCCCTGAGTATTAATGAAGTTCTAATAATTGCTGTAGTGAGGTAAAAAATAACTCCTGACAATATTTTAAATTACTAAATAAAAGCCTTGAGCAAAATGAATTTTTCATCTCTTTTTTTTTATTTTTTATTTGAACACGTTTTAAGCTAGACTTTGGATTGTTGATCAGATTGCATATCTATGAATGTAATTCACATCCAGGTTAGATGAGAATTGTTCCTACAGGATTAAGGCATCTGGGTCCCGCTGAAAGCCCAGTTAGCACCCATAAAAATCTACTTGGGCAAACCCATGTGGGGCCACCATGGAAACCGTGGACAAACCCACTTGTTACCCATATTCTAGCCCAGTTCAGACCCAATTGGGACCCAGGTAAATATTCCTGACAGCACCCTAGTGGGCCACAGATGAGCCTCATGTAAGTTAACCATGTGGGACCCACTGAAAGCCAGTCAGCACCCATTAAAATCTACTTGGGCAAACCCATGTGGGGCCACCATGGAAACCGTGGACAAACCCACTTGGTACCCATATTCTAGCCCAGTTCAGACCCAATTGGGACCCACGTAAATATTCTTGACAGCACCCTAGTGGGCCACAGATGGGCCTCATGTGAGTTAACCATGTGGGACCCACTGAAAACCCAGTCAGCACCCATAAAAATCTACTTGGGCAAACCCATGTGGGGCCACCATGGAAACCGTGGACAAACCCCTTGGTACCCATATTCTAGCCCAGTTTCAGACCCAATTGGGACCCAGGTAAATATTCCTGACAGCACCCTAGTGGGCCAGATGAGCCTCATGTAAGTTAACCATGTGGGACCCACTGAAAGCCCAGTCAGCACCCATTAAAATCTACTTGGGCAAACCCATGTGGGGCCACCATGGAAACTGTGGACAAACCCACTTGGTACCCATATTCTAGCCCAGTTTCAGACCCAATTGGGACCCACGTAAATATTCTTGACAGCACCCTAGTGGGCCACAGATGGGCCTCATGTGAGTTAACCATGTGGGACCCACTGAAAACCCAGTCAGCACCCATAAAAATCTACTTGGGCAAACCCATGTGGGGCCACCATGGAAACCGTGGACAAACCCACTTGTTACCCATATTCTAGCCCAGTTCAGACCCAATTGGGACCCAGGTAAATATTCCTGACAGCACCCTAGTGGGCCACAGATGGGCCTCATGTGAGTTAACCACATGGGCCCCACTGAAACCCAGTCAGCACCCATTAAAATCTACTTGGGCAAACCCATGTGGGGCCACCATGGAAACCGTGGACAAACCCACTTGGTACCCATATTCTAGCCCAGTTCAGACCCAATTGGGACCCACGTAAATATTCTTGACAGCACCCTAGTGGGCCACAGATGGGCCTCATGTGAGTTAACCACATGGGCCCCACTGAAAACCCAGTCAGCACCCATTAAAATCTACTTGGGCAAACCCATGTGGGGCCACCATGGAAACCGTGGACAAACCCTTTTGGCCCATATTGCCTGCCCACTTATATCCCATATGGGCCCACCTAGGTGTGCTGGCTGGGTATTATCAGAAGAACTCAGGTTTGTGGAAGTTAACTGGTTAAACACATGCAGGACAACGTTCTGCATTCAGAGTGAAATGCTCATAACACCACTATAACTGCAATGACAAGCAATAACACACACATCTCCATTCCAGACAAAAATCATGAAACATTCTCAACTCTCTTTTTTTTCTCCCCCTCCTAACACAAATATGGAGATTTCAGGAACAGAAGGGAACAAAAATTAGCCAATAATTCAATTTGTTCATTGCAAACTGTTTTTGATTTATATCGATTTCATGCCTCCCATCAGGTGCCACATCACGGAGGAGGGTAATAACCCAGAAATAACCTCGTTATGGAGACAGCACTGCGGTCTGGGCACAATGAACTCAGAGCTGAAGAATTAGTGACCTGGAAAGTGGCAGGGAGAGTTAATGGCATTAGTTGTATCACACACACAGAGTGCAGAGGGGGAAAGAAGAGAGGCGCGTGGAAATCACTGCTGCCATTGCAAAAGAAGAATGCATAAAAATTCAAGTGGAAAATAAAAAGGAAGGATCCTCTGATGGCTGATCTTTTTTTGCTCATCACGATCCCTTTTGATATCAAGTGCCTGGCACTGTTATGAGTGTTTCACCATCAGCATTATTATGATTGCTGTTTGAAACCAAAATGAAGCTTTTCTTATTGTTTTGAGTCTAATTAGAGTGAAATGAGGAAAACGTGGAGTGGGCTGCTAATGAATTATTTCCTTTCATGTATTTTCAAGTTCATCTTTTGTTGTTTATGGATTTTTTTTTACGGACACACACTTTGAAAACACACACACACAAGTATACATTTACCTGCTCAAAGGCTGTGTGCGTGTGTTTGTGAGTTTTATACATTAGCAACAGCTTACAGTGTTGCTGTTGCTAATGTATAAAGCAACATTTTCACATGCAGAACAAGACTGGGGGAAAAATGGAGACAACAATCTGAGAGGGGGGAGAGAAAAAAATAGAAGGCAAATGGAAAACGCATATACCAGCAGGTGTTGTTCCTGTTTCCCATCAAGAAAACAAAGAGAAAGAGGAAAAATCCCTCATGGCTGCCGCGCTAGCGCTACAGAAATGATTTCAGATCAGGATAAACACAATTAACAGCAAGAAATTCTGGATGTTTCTAAGTAATCACCTCTTTGATATCTGACATCAATACAGCTTTAGACACTTTGATATATGAGCTTGCCTTGATGAGCCTGGTGAATACATTAAAAATATGTTTAATTAGCATTTCAAATCAGCGGCACTCAACTAAAAAAGAATATACAATAAAGGAGAAATATGGCTGAAGAGGGTGTGTGTGCGTGCGTGTGTGTGTGTGTAAGAGAGAGGTGGGGGCGGGTGAGCAAATTACTCATGGGTTTGATGAACAAAGAGACTGCCCTCAGAACAAAGCGTGTGTTAAAGCCCAGCGCCTTTCACCTTCTTCGTTCATTCTGAGGCCAGCCGAATCAAAATCATCCTCCGGGCCTTTTTCTCTTCTTCTTCCACTTTTTTTTTTTTTTTGATTTCTTCATCACTCTTGTGCAAAAAAAATATTCTGTTTCTAATTAATATGACCTTATGAAATTTTAATCGCACCAGATCCCCACTTTGAAGAAGCAGTGGCGAGCCTTGAAGTACACGTGTCAGTATTTGCTCTTAGCTGGAAGCAAGAAAGAGGAGGAAATGTGTCTCAGGCTGATCTGGTTTGTGATAAATAACTGATGTACATTTTAACCTATTTACTTCATTTTGATTTTCTCTACTAAGTGCACTTGTGAATCCTCAGATCACTGCTTAATGATTGACACATCAAGACTTTTGGGGTAAAGTGAGTGCTATTGCCCTTGATTATTTTATTGTATTTATTTTTTCTTCTTCGTTCTCAGATGGAGTGCCATGCCAAAGAAGAAGTTTTCAAACTGCTCAAAGTGAATTTGCAATGAGGTGTAATTCAATGGAAAATATAAATGTCAGTTTCCATTTTGCACTGTGAACAGTGAGTTTCTGGTTGTACTGATGGCCTGTGTGCACCGAAAGCTGCAGTGAACCGTTTCTGCCTGGATTTCGCTGAGCGGTCTGTGATATGGTGTATACAACTGAAACGCTTAACACTGTGTCCTCTTTCACGTTTACTAATATTGTGTAAAAGGCTTGAGGAAAATATGATGATAAACTGCTCAAACTTAAAGACAGCTGATGTCCTCTGGTATTACAACATGCCTATTGAGCGCCTTCTTTATAAAGGAAAAGGTTGAAGTTCCTATCTGACATTCCTATCAGGAGGAGAAAACAGCTGGGATTCATCCCAGCTGTTGACCTGCATTTAGTGATGAGATTTATGGATATTTTAAAAGAACCTCATCTGGGATCAGTTCTTTCCAAAGAACTCTGACTCAGTTTTCTATTTACCTATTTTTAAGAAACCAGCTGGAGGTGACTTATTTAATCACATGAAGAAATGCTGGGGAGTAAAACAGGATTTTAAGTTGCTTATGCAAAGGATTGGTTGATTTAGACTTGATATATGCTACATAAAGGTTTTCATCATTAAAAAAAGGGGCTTCCAGCGGCTATTGGGTTTTTTGTTTGTGCCTCAGTCAAGACATTTTGTCCTTTTGAGTCACCAGTTCAACTGGTGCATGCTCACATGAAGCCAGTAAGGACAATGACATCAGGTAAAAACTGCTCCCATTGTGCCTGTTCTCCATCTCACTCAGTGGAGTAGCATAGGAGAAGTTTGCGAATGGATCTATAAGACAAACAAAAACATAACAATAGAAGAAATATAAACACAATTAAAAATCTGTCTGCAAAAACTCTCTAGTTTCATTGTGTTTACCTGCTTCAGGTAAACACAATGAATTCTATCCTAAAGAGAAACCAGCTGAGAAAAAATGAGAGGAAATTCAAACTTCAACTTGCTTCAAAGAAACAATGGTATTTGATCGTTCACTGACTCATGAGCAATTACAATTTCTGATGATCTAACATGCTGTCATATTCAATAAGTGGGAATACTACTGAAGCCTTGATTTATTTCAGCAAGTCACATCACGAGCTGAAACATTTTATGTACTGGATTTCACACAGAGGTAACTGTTTTTCAAGCTTTATTTCTGTAAATTATGACAAAATTGCACAGCCTGGCAGATTCACTCCTCACCAGTAGGTAGAAACACACCTAATATGATTTGTTTTTCCTTTTTAAGTTTGCTCAAAATTTTCATGACGATTGGATGGAAACATAACTATTAATTTCTCTCTTGCTATGCAGATGTTTTAATAAATGATTGTAACGTAGGTCTAAATATGAAAAACTGAGAGGAGTTATGTGTTCTATAAAGAAACAAAGTTACTGCCATCATTTCTTTATGTCTATAAAAAGAATCAGCTTA